ATATAGCTTACTTGATCATGTCACAAGATTATGACAAGGACCAATTTTGAAAACGTGAAAATGTTGCTTATAATAAAGAACTCTTGTAAATTCTGGTTATTTTTGTGTCACTTAATTAACCAGCTGCCTTTCCTATAAGTAGCATTTCCATGACTCAACCAGAAAATTACTTTGAATTTTGACTTCATTTGCCATACGTAGACTTAGATCTGAAGAATGATTTTGTCCAGACCTATACAGATAACAGAAATTTGGCAATCAAATAGTTTATATGCTTGCTAAAGAAATGAAAGAAAGAACATTGGGCTGAGTGTACCAATAAACTGATTATCTTGAATGCCACTTAGAATTACCAAATAAAATGAACAAATATGTAATTGTGTACCTTAATGTCTTCAGGTTGGTTTCTTTAAAACAAGTATTTCATTACGTTTTCCAGGGCCCAGGTAATCCTAAATTGTGCCATCATTATTAAATCCATACCTAGCTACAAGCTATTACCCAGAAAACAAGAGTATAAAACAAATCAAATGAGAACATTGGTCTGTAAACAATCTTTTATTTAAAAATAAAGAATATTAATATATGATCCAGCAGTAGTCAGTTTAGCCTATGACCAAAGCAGGAGAGACAATGAAGTAAAATGAATAAGAAAATGAATCCAGACTCATACAGGCTCATCCAAGCTCTTGTAGTGAGTGTGTGTCATGAAACAAGTTACTTAAGATTTTTGGTTTCCGCTTCTGGAAAGTGAAAATAATAAGAATCCTTGCTTGTAGAATGAGAAAACACAATACATATGAAAACATTCAACAGGAAATCAAGCCCCCAGACCACTCACACAGAGAATTGTCAACACATTTATTTACACGAAATTCCCACTGTGGAATGAATTTGGCTGATAAGTGTTTTCACTGATAAACATTTTGACTAATTTTCTTATTAATTTAAAAAATGTAAATTATTTTGTTTGGTCAAAATGTGTATACTAGTTTTTTAAATGTATGACAGTTTTACATGATCTTTGTATTCCTTTTTTTTTAAAAAAAAAAAAAAAAAGCAAACAAACAAACCCACTTTCATTGAGTTGATTCCTACTCATAGCAACCCCCATTGGGTTTCCTAGGCAGTAAATCTTTACAGTAGATTGCTCCATCTCCCTTCCCATCTTTCTTCCCAATTTCTTTCCAATCTTCCTTCCGTGGAAAGGCTAGTAGGTTTGAACTGTCAACCTTGTGGTTAGCAGTCAAATGCCTTAGGCACTGCACTACCAGAGCTCCTTTGTACTCCCTTAGTAGCTTTCAAACACATATGAGTCCACTTCTACTTCAAGTAGCCTTTTACAAAAAAGGCAATCAAATTGACTGTATATTAATGTATATTAAGCTGGTGGTAAGAGGCGCTAGTGGTGTAGTGGTTAAGGCATTTGGCTGCTAACCACAGGATTGATGCTTCAAACCCACTAGCTGCTGTGCAGAAGAAAGATGAGACAGTCTGCTTCCAT